TAGTAGTAGTAGTAGTAGTAGTAGTAGCAGCAGCAGCAGCAGTAGTAGCAGTAGTAGTAGTAGTAGTAGTAGTAGTAGTAGTAGTAGTAGTAGTAGTAGTAGTAGTAGCAGCAGCAGTAGCAGTAGTAGTAGTAGTAGTAGTAGTAGTAGTAGTAGCAGCAGCAGCAGTAGTAGTAGTAGTAGTAGTAGTAGTAGTAGTAGTAGTAGCAGCAGTAGTAGTAGTAGTAGTAGTAGTAGTAGTAGTAGTAGTAGTAGTAGTAGTAGTAGTAGCAGTAGCAGTAGTTCTTGTAGTAGCAGTAGCAACAGTATCCAATATTTACTGTTTCAGTACCAAATGGTAAAGCATTCAACAGTATCTGTGATAAGAGTTTTTCTATTCCAGAGCAACAATTGTTGCTCTTATAGAGCTGCAAACTGGAGCTTCGGAACAGAAGGTGTCACAGTAACAACTGAACTATCGTCGGTTAACATAAAAGACGAACGGTGCAGGGAACGTGAAAAGATGTATGCCTTTTAAAGAGTAACCAATAAACGTATGCTACGTTCGTTGGTACTAAAAGAGTTACGTCAAGGGCCGTTGAGCCCTTTCCTTTGCTTGAGTAAGGGAAGTTGTACAAACTAGAGTAAATGTCCTTCTCACACTCACTGAACCACCTTTCTTCGAGTAAGGAAAGTTGTACAAACTAGAGTAACTGTCCTTCTCACACTCAATGAACCACCTTTCTTCGAGTAAGGGAAGTTGTACAAACTAGAGTAACTGTCCTTCTCACACTCACTGAACCACCTTTCTTCGAGTAAGGGAAGTTGTACAAACTAGAATGAAGATCCTTATTACACCCACTGAGCCCCTTCCCTTGAGTAAGGGAAGTTGTACAAACTAGAATGAAGATCCTTTTTACGCCCATTGAGCGCCTTCCCTTGAGTAAGGAAAGTTGTACAAACTAGAATGAAGATCCTTATTACGCCCACTGAGCCCCTTCCCTTGAGTAAGGGAAGTTGTAAAAACTAGAGTAAAAATCCCTATTACGCCCACTGAGCCCCTTCCCTTGAGTAAGGGAAGTTGTACAAACTAAAGTAAAGATCCTTATTACGCCCACTGAACCCCTTTCCTTGAGCAAGGGAAGTTGTACAAACTAGAGTAAAGATCCTTATTACGCCCACTGAGCCCCTTCCCTTGAGTAAGGGAAGTTGTACAAACTAGAATGAAGATCCTTATTACGCCCATTGAGCGCCTTCCCTTGAGTAAGGAAAGTTGTACAAACTAGAATGAAGATCCTTATTACGCCCACTGAGCCCCTTCCCTTGAGTAAGGGAAGTTGTACAAACTAGAGTAAAAATCCCTATTACGCCCACTGAGCCCCTTCCCTTGAGTAAGGGAAGTTGTACAAACTAAAGTAAAGATCCTTATTACGCCCACTGAGCCCCTTTCCTTGAGCAAGGGAAGTTGTACAAACTAGAGTAAAGATCCTTATTACGCCCACTGAGCCCCTTCCCTTGAGTAAGGAAAGTTGTACAAATTAGAGTTAAGGTCCTTCTTATGCCCTAAGTCCGAAGATCGATTCCTCGTTTTTAAAGAACTTTATACAGACCAGAATCTACTGCTGTCAAATGTGAAACAAGCGATCGACGATGTTTGTCGACTCTAGTTAAATTACCGTTCTCGATTCAGCGGGTACTTTGGACGGCGACTAAACAACCTACTTAGAAACAGTACATCTTAGAATTAGATTGTGGTTTCTGTTTGTGGATGTTTAAAAATCTGGCCTTTATTCAGAACATTACTTCAATATGCTGCTGAAGTTTGAATTATCATTATTTTCATAATGGGGAAAATATACAGCACATGCTGCGAACGCGCTTCTGAATGCAGGGCTACTGAGTTTGATCCCAGCTGCAAGCGATTTAACAGCAGACCGTCTTGCGTTGGTTTTCTACAACTTTGAGTAGGTTAGTTGCGTATCCTTTACAGGACGTTGAAGAATCAACGCCAACAGCCCCTGGCTGTTGTGGGGTTTTTCTAGGCAAATTTACGTCCAGTAGTTTGCTATTGCTTTCCTGGATGGCGGGCTTTCTTGATACCACTATCGAAACCAACGCAAGGCGCATGACCCGCAGCTGGAATCGAACCCGGCATTGCGGCATTACGAAGCGTTCACTTCGACTTAGCCACAGAGGCCTTGAGTAGGCAATGGCAAATTACGTAAATTGGATTAGAAAAACCACAACAGCCAAATCATGCAGGGGTTAGTTCTGCAACATCAAGTAGAGGGCACGCAACTAGCTTCTAGCATATATTACTTACATATACATACATTGTCAGCTCCTCTAACATGAGTATTCAGACACTCTGATCCTACCGTTCCCAAATATATAGGGGTGGAGGGTGGGGGGCGCCGATAATTCTGAGTCCCGCCACCCGCAGGAGAAATAGGCTAACTGGTTTTCCTCTAACCATTCTCTTATTAGGTATTTGTTGTGATATTTCTATATGTCACATTCGATTGAAAACTGGACAGATAAATTAGCTCGAGATGTGACCGAGCACACAAGTACTGGGGCAACTGTCTCCCTGTTGGCACACACGCAGATACCCCAAAGTACAAAAGTGAATCTTATCAGAACTATTTTTTGGCCAACACTATGCTATCGGTGTGAAATGTAGTCACTTACATCTTAAAATGAACGTAGAATTGTGACAAGAAATGCCTTAGAAGAACTGCAGGAGATTAAAGGAAACACAGAATACGAAATCGCGAAATCAGACGAATGCTAGGAATAAAGCCAGTCTTACAGGTCATCAAAGAACAACAAATGAATTGGTTTGGACACCTAATAAGAATGCCCTGGTACTATCTGCCACAGCGAACCGCATTAAAACGTTACAACGGGTACAGAGCGAGGGCAAAACCTCGTAAAACATAGAGTGATTGCATAAAGAACCGCCTTACAGAAATAATCATCTATCTTGATATGCTCTTGATAAAGCTCATCAAGGAACGTTACATCTTCCCCCTACACTTCACTAAGATAAAGTGTGGAAGAGAAGAAGAAGTAGAAGCTTATATATTTGATATCACTGCACATTTGCTATTAAATTTTTTTTGCTTTTTGACTATATAGCTGTTATTTTTGCAGTGCACTTAAACAAGGCTTAGGTCACTTGAGCCTCGCCCCTTGAAAGTTAGCTATACAGGGGCTTAACCTGTCTTACCAATATTTCTTGGTGGTGGCGCTTGAGAATTTCATACATAACATACATTGCAGCATGTTACATTCGTTGTATACGTTACATACATTTACAAACGAGTGCATGCACTTACACAAACATTGAGTTATATAAATAGAAGTTGTGAACTATGTGCGCTATACCCCTTTGACGAGACAACGATTTTATATGTATGTATATGTGTATGTATATATTTATGTTTATATATATATATATATATATATATATATATATATATATATATATATATATATATATATATATATATATATATATATATATAACGGTTTATATGTATTTATTTATATATTACTTTAGTTAGATGTGTCACCATTTCAAGTAAACTCACAATTACTTCCTGTATTTTTCACACTTGATGTAAGCCGAGAGGTCTCTGAGACTGAGCATTTAGGGCCGTATAGTTAGTGCTCTCGATTTCTGTTTTTGCCCCTACGAAAGAAAAGTAAAAATCATAACTCTTTAGAGAATTCGAACCGGGATCTCGCCCGTAAAAGCCTAGCCGTTCTGCTAACTAATTCCTCAATTACAGACACGGTTATAAAATTTAAACAAAGAAACAAAAGCCGCAAAATCTCAATTTACCCGACCCACCCAAACCTTCTGTCCAGAATGCCCTTTCCAATCGCCCACTTTGTCAAGACATGCCAAGCGTCGAGGGAAAACACGCATAAGGCGATTATTCGTCCAGAAAAATCGCATAAGGCGATTATCTCAATATTTATGTCATTGTTTGTTATGTCTTAGGTGCGTTCATGTATGCATGTGCGTTTATTATTTGACATTTGCTAGTTTTGTGTCAAATTTTGATAAACCAAATCAAAACAGTGTCGGCAAATCATATGGAGCCAGAATCCAAACGTTTGAAATATGAGGGAAGAGGTGACATTGAGTGTGGGCTTTCACGGTTTCAGGATCAAGAGGGAGAAATTTGATCGTGCTAATCATTTTACAGAAGGAATTTAAAAACATCCTTGGATTCCACATGGCGTTTGGTTTTTATAACTATGCGACCTTCCAGTTGATCCAATTTTAAACTATTACTTGGAAATTTTATAGCTTTATTATGCAATCAGGTATTCGCAGTTCCAACTTCACAGCAAACGGGTCACACTGCTCACAGTGTCGCGCCCTACACTCAACTCGGTAGCTAAAACTATATTATTTCTGTCCATATATGTAGGAAAATGCAACGGCCACCTATTGAGAGAAGCAGAAAATGGTCACTACTAAAAAAGGGCCCATCACCCATAGTGAAGGAAAACCTTAGGGCATACAATAAGAGGAAGAAATGGATGGTTCTTCCACAACCTAGGGCGAACTAGAAATGGTTGCTAGCCCAGTAGTTTATCAGATAATTTGGCCATTGACTCATCTGTGGCCAAGTTAACGTCGTTCGTTTTGCCTTCCGAAACATCTTGTGGAACACATCTTTGACTAAAACAACCTAGGAGCCCACGTCAGCCAGATTGGAATTATTCAGGTAAGAGTTAGCCTTCTTTATGTGTTGTCATGCTGAAGTTGTCTGCAATAGTTTCCGTTCATCTTCTTTCCCTTTTTCTACTACAACAGCTCCCATTCTGTGCTTCGTTGTTGCTAAAAGGGTTAAAAAAAAAAGGGGGGGGGGGTGTGTGGGGGGTAGGAGAAGCATTCAAATCAAAAAAAAAATTTAACAATACCAATACAAATTCCATTCTGAAACGAAAATTTGTCAAGCTGAATTTCGCAGATCTTGTCTGACATTGTGTCTGAGAAATTAGTTTTGCCGCCTTTCTCGGTGACATATCTCTGTGAACGAAATTCTCCGCTCACACAGCTGCCAAAACAGAAGCCACTTAAATGCACAAGATATTTGCTTGCAATTGAGCATCAATTTAAATCCGAAATAAGGAAACAAGTGCGCATAAAAAAAAATTAAATTTAAAAAAAAACAGAATACATTTGAAGGTGTCTTATTACATTTTTGGACGTAGCTATATCTAAGGGCCATTTTCCACGATTTCAGGCGTTTTGGGCATATAGGGTCCCCTTTTGTGGGTGAGGGGGGGGGGGAGAAGGGGTTCTTGTGTGGAGCGGCGCAAGAGTCCTGAGCCTGCAGGTTCGGTGGCCCCTTGATTAAGAGGTTGCCATACATCGCTTCTCTTAATCGTTGGCTACCCGAGATCCGGAAATTGCTGCTGTCACGGAAGACAGCTAACCGGAGCACTTTACAAGGCATAAACGAGACAGATGATGGATGCTTGCGTGTTGTGTGACATGGCAAAGGGTCAACGGTCAAAGGTTAGAAGAAGCTGGATCAATAAAACAACGACAACAAATCAGGGACGACGACACACAGAACACACTACACTTCATCCCTCTCACGTACTGTCTAGGGGAGGAGGGAGGCTCGAACAGTCAAGACCTCGCTTAACAGTTTATTAATAATAATAAAAATAAGCTGAATGGTGAAAATATATGTGACTTCAAATGAGAACAGATAATGTAGAGGCGGGGTAGCTTACCTAAATATATATATATATATATATATATATATATATATATATATATATATATATATAAAGAGGTGGGTGGAGGTTGAAATTGCCCAAACCCCTAGCTTTTAAGGGTATTCTCACACCTTACACATTATACAGAATGGTTCATTTTATCTCAACAGGTTAGACATAATGTTTTGTGGTATTCCTACGATGTACACAGTAGCAGGGACAGCATCATGGTATCCCTACACTTTACACAGATTCGGTCCATGATATTCTCACACTTTGCACACAATGATTCGTGATATTTCTACACATTACGCAGACTGCTTTATGGTATCCATACAGTTTACACAAAGTCATGACGCCAGCATAATGATGCCCCTCAGTGTTCACCATGAGATGACATTGGCATTCACTGAATTGGATGTTACTGTAACAGACTATAAAGGCATGCTGAGAAAGGTGAGGACATGGGTGCTTTGAGCAGATTGGCAAGCTTTACTGTGAAGGTCACGGGTAGTTGGTTTTTCAGGCAATGCCGGCGTAGTGGGTAATGAACAGTAGGATTGGCTGGACCTGCACCACTGGGTGGTGAATGTATATATGACAAGGCAGATGTTGTCAACGACCTTTGGGAACGAGCAACGGAATCAGTAGAGAAAGAAGATTATTATGGCCTGGAGAGAATGAGGCACCTGGGTGAAACCAGATGGTCTGGCCGGCTCACTACACTCAGATGAATGGCAAGACGGACATATAACCAGATTGTGACTGGTACCATCAGTGTTGGAACTCTGCGCTGACTGCTGAAGATGAGGACAGAGCATGTATGGGAATGCCCCAAGTTTTGTGATGTCAATTTTGGACTCAGCTCAACTTAACTGGAAGTTACAGTGAATTATCTCTTTTTAATAATGAGCAGAATTTAAGCTTTCTGAAAATGTCAAATAAAGCTTACTTTGCTTAATACATCTTTGTTAAAAGTGGCATCGAAATGCAGGATTACTTTGTAAAATACTTATGAAAATATCTACCTGTAACCTGTACACTTGAGTTAAGTTTAATGATTGAATGTGCCCCATTTAGGGCTGGTGAGCCTGAGGTTCTGGGACCGCTGTGCAGGTAAGGATTTTAATTTGGGCATCCAACATAAATAATCTTTAATAACCTGAGTATTCGAGCCTGAGACACCCACTTGGCACTCTAGCGTTCTAACCACTCGTCCAGACACTACAATTGTAAAACATTGTGTAAAAACGCATCGTGTACCAAACATAAGAAAATCCGAGGTTCGTTACAAGTTAGCCACTGTTCGTTGCAGAACGCTAAAACCTACAGTGCAACTAATGAACAGAGAATATGTATCTCCCAAAAGCACGACAGCATCTTCTCCATTCAGTAACACAATCTTGGCTGCACGATGTAGACAGGTCCCTAAAGTAAAGAGAACTTATTCAGACCTGTCCCCTCGATCAATAGACGAGACACCAGTTCTGGCCACACGAAATAATGTTAGGAAAGTAACTTTAGGAAGAAGCAAAATGGATTCTCAACAGATAGTACATCGCAGAATGTCTGATTATGATCACGTTGAGTGACAGAACTACTTTGTGAGCAGAGCAAAGGAATATTTTCTATCTAGTTACGAATAAAGCATTTTATGCTAGATGTATATTTTTAAAATAAAAATCAGCACTTGATTGTGCCAGTCGCTTTTATGTTCTATGATGATATTTTAGTTCGACGTGGAAGCCTTTGTCAGTTTAAAACTAAGATCCTTTAGATGAGGAATAGAACCCGCTACCTTCCTTATTTAGTTGCTCAACTTCTAGCCTGGGGTGTTTAGGTTTTGTCAGAGAGATAGCCAGACTTTCTATCAGCAGTTTTCTTTTTGGCTTTGTTCCATTCCAGTCTCCGTCGGTCATGGACTGTCGGATTTTGTCTTCCCAGCAAACCATAGGTCGTTCTGGTGTTCCGGTTTCCTGCTTCTCAGCCTCCCACGCCGGTCGTGGTGGGTGATTCTCTCCCAGTCTGCATATATTTCCAAACCATCGTAACTGTGACTGATCCATTAGAGTTTATAAGGCCTAGGTTTCAAGACCATGGCGTATTGTCTGATTGCGAACTTTAATCCTTCTTGTCGCTTGGACCAATTTTATTTGATATCTCATTTCTTGGGCCCGGCGCTGGCTTCTGTGAACTGTTGTCATTGCCGATGACTCGCACTCGTAAGTCTTCTAACATTAAAATTTACTCTGTCGTCATTGTTTTGGTCGTTGCTGTCGTGGAGTGAACATCCAACCGTACACTGTGGACTGTTCGTGACGATGACACCCCTAAGCGGGCACGTCACATTTCAAATTAAAACCCGTCCGGGGGGGGGGGGGGGATATATAGTCCCTTATATTGATATATACCTCTATCTGGTGAAATAATCATTGCTAGACCCTCTAGTTGCTTTGAGAAGTCTACATTTTCAAACTTACAACTGTGGAATTAATATTTGTGGTGTATAATTCAGAAATTCCTGTAAGCCTGTTTACTCCTTGGGCATGAATACAGGGACTTCTTTCCTAGAGACGCCAAGCTTAGTTTGAGGTGGGCATTCTCTGTCTGACTGCCTAGAAGAACAGATGTTCCTAAATGTGCCTCGTATATCTATGCTTTGAGGAGGCGGCCGTTGGTGTCTAGGACATTTCCTAAGCTTGGGTAAGTTGATTATAGTTTACGAGTACCATGATATATATATCTTTAAAGTTGGCCACTGCTGCATGGAGGGAAGATTCAGCTGTGTGATCGCACAAACTGGGGCGTTCTTGATATCCAGTCATTCCAGGCCCTAAATCAAACCTTTCCCTTCACAGGCTAACTAACTTGTGCCGTACATAACACACACCATTGTAAAAATATTAAATCCAGCAAGTTAATTATTCTATAACCAAACGTAGGAATTGTATCGACTCATAGACATTTGTAAACTGGATCCGCTTGCGTTCGGTTGGGCCGGTGACGTCAGAGCTAGGCGCTCTGAGTCAAAGGTTAACTTTAGCACAACAACATGGGGTGTGCAGGAGGCATCTTGTGGAGATATGAAATATATATTCATGTACGAACGAGATAGAATGTATGTCTGCAGGTGCAGATGGGAGAGGAGAGTTGATGTTCTATATTTGATAGTCTATCTGTCTCCACTCTGGCCCTCATCTCCTAGCCCTGTTACTGACTGAACAATAGAGATGATATGTAGAGACTTGTACTGTCTCATTATCCTAAGAGGTGTCCTCTGAATGATTACTAATGTGGATGTTAATAAACTGAGCTTGACATGTAACCCCTGAGATGACTGCTAATTCTAAGTTCCTTTTTGATACATGATGATATCTCCTTGGAGGCCAGGCAGTGAATCAGCAGTCCACAAAACCACCTACAAGGAAGTCACCTATGTCTAAGCCAGTGGTGGGCATCAGATTGTCAACTAAACTTTTGTCATCATTTAGTGAAATCCTCCATTTGATCTACAGACAACATTATGGGTGTTGTACCTTCACCATCATTTATCTGGCAGCTTGTTTGTACCTCAAGTGTTTGACTTGGTACCTGAGATCCTCTCCAGGAGCTTAGGTGTATCTCCAGTGTTCGAGTGTCTAGTGTGGGACTATCTTGAACGTATAAAACAGAGTGACTGAACATCCAGCCAGTTAAAAAAAACCAGGGATTCAGATAAGTGTGGCCAATCATTGGTTTATTGCCAGGCTTCACTGTTGATCAACCCCACTTGTCATAATGATGATCTCGGCAGACTTTGGAACATTCATACACGTTCAGTCGGATCGAGTTTGAAGTTTTGGTCCTTCATATCACTCTGGGTTCTTGAAGTTCTTTGCTGATTCTTATATAATGTATGTGTTGCACTTATTACAGTATTTCTAAGGTTTCACTATTGCCTGGAGTGTCACTCATTCAGTGTTCTTAGCTGTCTAAAGTACATGTATGTTCAATTAATAATCTGTATCTGTGTTAACATGGTTATGACAGTATACTATCATAACCTGGGAGCTAGCTTTTTATAGTAGTGGGGGTGTCCAGCTAAGTGTGCCTAGGAATATTAGATATTCTGTAGTGCTAGAACTTGAGTTGCCCTACTCCTGAAATAAGTTGGGCGTATATTGGCCACGGGATCTCCCTTAGACCAATACGAGCCAACGCCTCAACATTATTATTTCAGAATGTTGTTGGTTCTTAAGGAGAAATCCTTCAATCAGGCACGCGACACGAGCGGTATGTGTCGTAGCCATAGGTCGTGAAGTTGTCATAGAGCCTTAGAAGAGCATCGGCTAGACAGAAGCCTTCAAATGTTGGGTTCGAATTCGCATAGTTTCAAACTTGTAATGATTGTCAATGGCTCCCAGGTTGGCCAGTTCTAAAACAGATGGAAAGAAACATCTCTGTATGGTGTTCTGACTAGATAACCCAGTGTGTACCATGCTACTCTTTGAATATAGATCTAGGGCCAGGGTTCTGCTATTTCATCAGGGCTCTTCAATGTGCATGCAAGTAAGATTACAGAACTTGAAGCACCAGGTATTGGAAGGATATTGACATTTGCTGATGATGTTCTTGCATATAGGCAGGGGTAAAGTAAAAAAAATAAAGTAAAGATCCCTTTACACGCCCTTGGGCGCATCGGGCATATGGGAAGAGCGCCCATATTTTTACAGACCATCAGCACTCGGTGGGTAATGTGGTCAGCATTACA